TTCTTTTCTACATCTTATCTTCAGTTACATGTGCTTTAATTTAATTTAACTTCACAATGTTGACACCGTATTTCTGCAAGCACAGTTAAATCACCCACGGCTTCTCTGTAGGTTGAGTTCAGAAGTTGGAAAGAAGGAGACGGATATACGGCTCAGAGGTTAAGTTCACTTGCTGCTCTTGCAGGGGACCAGAGGGCTGGGGTTCAGTGCCCAAGACCCACACTGTGGCTCACAACCATGTGCATCTCCAGTTCCAGGGGATTGGACATTGTCTTCTGACTTCTGTGGGCACCAGGTTCACACATGGTACACATACAAAGATGCAAACAAAACACTCATACATGTAAAATAAAATACACAGATCTTTAAAAATTGAAAAATAAACAGTAGTTGCATGACTGAGGCTATGTATTATTCTTTCATAGCCCAGCTGCACACTATGCAACCATTTCCATTTCTTCCAGTGTTTTCCTAGAATTTTCTTTCTTTTCATTTAAAAATGTACTGCGTTAACGGCTTTTTTGTTTTGTTTTGATTTGGTTTTTGAGATGCCCCCAATATATAGTCCAGACTGGCCTGGAAGCTTTCACTGTGGCTCAGGCAGGGCTCTAGTTAAGATCTTCCCACCTCAGCTTTCACGTGCTGCTTTGAAGAGTGCATACACCACCACAGCTGTTGTGGCTGGACAGTATTACTGTACATGGAGATGAAATGTATTGTTTATCCACTCATCCATAGTGGACATATTGGCCATTTCTACTATTTGCTAGTATGAATCATGATGCTATAAACATTTGCATACAAATGTTTGAACATAGGCTTTGTTTCCTTGAGGTACATATGAAGTGGGATTTCTAGGTCAAATAATAATTCTAGGTTTAACTTACTAAGTAGCTGCCAATTACTTCCACACTAGCTGCTTCATTGTACCTTACAGTGACTACATAGTTCCCAGCATTTCCATATCTTCAGCAACACATGTATGTGTGTGTGTGTACATGCATGAGTGCAAGTGCCAGTGCACATGCATATATACATATGTATATTACATGTTTGTATGTTTGCAGATGCATATTTTGTGTAAATGGAACATGACAACTTCTAGAGTCTTTTCTCTATAAAGGCACCCACTTTATTTGCTTATTCAGTTTTGGGCATAGAGTCTTTTAATGGCCTGGAACTCATCAGGTAGGTTTGACTAGGTGACCAGCTTGCCCCAAGTATCTTCTTATCTTCACGTCCCTTGCACTGGGATTACAAGGGTACCCCATCATACTTGGCATTTATTCACTCGTGTTCTAGGGATCAAACTCAAGTCCTCAGTCTTGCAAAGCAATTACTTTTGATGACTGTCTTCCAAGTCTACCTTTTTTTTTTTTTTTGCTTTTGGCTTTTAAAATTATGACCACTCTAGAGGAGGTGAAATGATACCTTTTCAGCTGTTGTTTGAATTCTCCCAAGGACTAATGATATTGAACATCTTTTCATGGACTTGTTGGCAATTTGTCTATTTTCGATCTTCTCCAGAAAAAAAACAAATGCGTGTTCTCCTTATGTTTGTCTGTTTCATTGGACTGTGCACGCACTGAGAAAGGGGCTGTGAAATCTATACCTGGAACCTCAGCACTTCACACAAGGAAAGCACAGATGGGCTGTTCAGTGGCTGGGAAAGTTGGGGACCAGCATGGAGAAACTTTAAACTTACTGCACTCCTCAGCAGAGCTTCATGTTAACATACTTCAAGTGGAGCATCAATCTCCTGACCATTGGTGTCCTAGCAAAATGAGAGATTAAGAAGGAGCAGGTCCCACATGGAGCCTCAGTCTGGTAACTTTGGTCATACTCCTGTCATTACTTAGACACTCTAGTAACTTTCCACCATGAGGTGCTAGTATGGACCATATTGGGAATTCTTTCATCCTTGAATTGGGTAAGTCCCTCTGTATGCTGAAAGATTTATTTCAGGGTCATTTCTTCATAGAAAATATCCTTGGCATGTCCAAGTCGCACAGTCTGAATGTGATTCCTCTCACTAGTCTCAATCAAAACCTACCCCTGTTCTTCCGTGTGTGTGTGTGTGTGTGTGTGTGTGTGTGTGTCTGTCTGTCTGTCTGTCTGTGCGCGCTCATGCATATGCAAGCCTATGTGTGTTTTCAGAGCATTCACCACAGTTTATATTTAGGGATCTTTCTGAATAATTGCTTGCCTAATGTCTGTCTCTCCTACCAGACTAGAGTTCCATAAGGTAGAAAGTTAGAAGCTCAGTCTTTAGCACAGTGCTTGGTACATATCTGGCTCCATAAATGTTGATTAAATACAAGGAAAAATAATGATTAAGAGAGCAAAGGCTTAACTCTAATTCTTTTTCTTTCCACTAGTCCATTCTACCTCTGTGCTGAATATTGTACCTGACAACCAGGTAGAGCTGAATAAAAGTTCATTTCTTCTCTCCCTCTCACATGAATATCCTTCAACTTTTCACCCTCCATCCCCACTTCCTCCTTTCTCCACTATTTCCATTGCTAACCAATTTTCCAGGAAACTCCTGCCTGGTTTGCAGATGCCAAACCACAGTAAGTCTGCCTTAAGTGTTTAAGACCCATCACTCACCTTGCAATCAGGACCAGGATAGAGAACTCTAGTCCATGAGGCAAGTATGGAAAACAACAGGGAAATTAAGAACTTTGTTTGACATTAATCACTATCCCCAAATGAAACCTAGATAAAGCTGCTGGAGAACTGAACCACACTGTGCATCCATAGGGAAACCACATGGGAGACAACTAGACAGCATCTCCAAGTCCCAGTTCTAAATCAGGAAAGAACACAGAAATATGTCTACTTTAATTCTGTGTCACCAGACTCTGAAGCTCAAGTCACCGTGTAACATCCCTAGCAACCATTGTCAGGGGTTCTGCTTATGTAGCCCCAGACACAGGGAACTCACTACTGTTAAAGAAGGTTATAGGTAAGTCTTCTCTTGTCTTTCTCTACCTAAGTTCAGACCCCATCTCCATGGGATGAAACTGGTTCTGCAGAATGGTCTGTCCCTTAGTGGGCCCATCTGAGTGAGTGGACAGAAAAGTTTGAAGGACTCAGTACATATCTATTTCTATATCTACAAACTTTTATGTAGATGTACATATGGTCTGTCTATGCCCAATATGGAAAGGAAATACACTAAAATGTTAACAATGTTTACACTGGGTACAATGGGGTTGTTTGTGATATTTTTTTCTTCTCCATAATGATCAATACTTGCTAACTTTTGTGTATTACATCCATGAGATAAGAAAACAGTGACCTGCGATATACTATGACTGAACTTTAATGGAAGAAACTAGTCACAAAAGCCATCTATTTATTATAAGACACCATTTGTAGGAAGTTTCCAGCACGGGCTCTATAGTTGGAAAGCTAGAGCATATGCGGGGGCGGCGGGGGGTGTTGGAGGAGCTGTCAAAAGGGTGTGAAGTTTCCCTGAGAGGAAATGAAAACGTTCTTGACCATTGTGCTGGTTGGGCTTTGTCACAAGCTTGGCACAAGCCTAGACATATCTAGGAAGAGGGAACCTTAACTGAGAAAATGTATGTGGTGGTTTGAATGAGAACGGTCTGCGTGGGCTCATATGTTTGGATACTTGGTCCTCAGTGCGGGAAATGTTTGAGGAGGATTAGGTGGTGTGGCATCCTTGGATGAGGTGTGTAACTAGGGGTGGACTTTGAGGCTTCAAAAGTCCACACCATTCCCAGTTAGCTCTCTCTTTCTCTCTGCCTTACCGTTATGAATCAGACGTGAGCTCTCTGCTACTGCTCCAGTGCTCCACCATGAAGTTCATAAATCTAGCCCTCTACAGCCATGAGCCCCGAATTAAACTTTTTCATTTTTAAGTTGCCTTGGTTGTGGTGTTATTTTCATGGCAATAGAAAAGTAAGTAAAGCAATGTCCCCATAAGACTGGCCGGTATACAAGGTTCTGGGTCATTTTCATGATTAATGATCGATGTGGGGGGCCCATCGTTTTGGGGGCAGTGCTACTCCTGTGCCGTTTGTCATGGGTGCTATAAGAAAGCAGGCTGAGCAAGTCAGTAAGCACCACTTAGCCATGGCTTCTGCTTTAGTTCCTGCCTTCAGATTCCTGGCCTGCTTTTGTTCCTGCCCTGACTTCCCTCAGTGGACTGTCACTCAGGATGGGTAAGCCTTTCTCTCCATGTTGCTTTTGATTATCTTTATCGCAGCAATAGAAACCAAACTCTGATAATTGTGATGTGTACTGAACTCTGCAAATGTAATAAAAACCATTAAATTGTGTACTTTCAGTTTACAAAGCATACACTGCATGGTATGTGAATTATATCTCAATAAACTTGCTATTTTAAAAGGATGATGAATATAATTTTTAAAATATGTGTTGTTTTTAGAATTTGTGAGGATGTACTGAAAATTTTGTTTGTAGTTTTTACTGTATAATTTGTTTTTCTACAAAGAAAGGTAAGCATGGAGAAGAAAATCTAGAAAGAACAAAACAGGTTCAGGATAAGAAGGGCCCAGGTGGCCCCATCATCCGAGCAGCAGTAGGGTCCCCTTCTTGTAGCCAGATTCAGGACAGGGGGCCTGCACCCTCACATGACTCTTCAGCTGGACTGTCCTGCTGCTCACAGGCCCTGAGACAGGCCTACTCCCAAGACATGCCGATCCAGTGTGTGTTCTACTTCCAGCCCTGTCCTATGTGACCTCTGAACATGAGTCCATCTCCTTGTCTGGCAAGTAGAGAGATTCAGAACAGTTTGGTAGGATTCTGTGGAAAGGTACAAGTTATGGGACAGCACTTCCAACTGTCTGATTCTCTGGAAGGGAGTAGAGATAGAGATTACATACATATATACACATGTATATATAATTATATGAATATTATAATATACTACATATTATTACATAATTATAACATTACATTACATTATTCTAATAGAAGTATAATATATATACACACTCCAGTGGTTATTATTTTAAAAAACAGATGATTTATCACTGTGCTTGATTTCAAAGTGCCCAGGCTACATGAAGCTTTTCAGAAGATAAGAGAAACACACTCAAGAATCCACCATGCTGGAAGAGGAGCAGGCGAGCAGACAAGGTCAGTGAGAAAATATTCCAGATATGCAAACAACCACAAGGCCACACATCTAGCATCTGGAAGAAATCAGATAACAGATAGGAGTCCCTTTTCTTTACTTGGTTCCTTCTTCCTTTCTGTCTCAGATATTAATAGCTGTGGCTGCCACAGGCTGTAACAAGGCTGCAGTTCTGAGAGAGTGTAAAATATAAATCATATGTAGATCATCATTGAATTGTGGAGGTAGATGCAGAGAGATGACTATATAGTTAAAAAAGTGCCCCCAGATCTGGCTAGCTTCTATGCCAAGTGTGTGTGTACATGTATATTCATATTTTTATGTGTGCAGATACACATGCATGTGTGTGTGATACCAGAAGACAATACCCAGTGTCATTTCTCCATAAGGTGGTCCACCTACATTCAGGGTCAACCTCAATTCTCTGGAGCAGGATATACTATTCCAGTATAAATCACTTTGCAACATCTTTATAGTGTTGTGTATTCTAACTTCAGCGACATTGTGGGTGCCCTTGCCCAGTGGTGGGAAGTGGCTAAATTCTAGGGGTTTCTTCAAAGGCACATATAGGCTTTGGATAAGGCCACCATCATAGTGTCACCCACTATGGGAAAGAATGTGTCACCTAGACCAAAACTGGGACAGGTAAGAGGTATCGTATTCTTTTATGGAAATAGTGAATCCTACCAAGATGCCCTAAGGCCTTTTTCTAGGATGCAAGGGACATAGGGTGTTGAGTCTCAGGTTGACCCCATTTTCTACCCTCACTTCTACTATGAGGATTCAAGAGTTCTCAGCTATGATATGGAGATAATGACACTGCCCCACAGGGTAGCTGTCAAGTCACTAACAAGTTACTCAGCAAGGCATGATAGGAACTGTCTAGTCAGACATGGTAGCTTATGCCTGTGACCTCAGCACTTGGGAGACTGAGGAAGTTGGATTGCAACAACTTGGAGGTGAGTTTCAGCCCAGCTTGGACTACAGGGTGAGACCCTGCCACAAGAAATATGATAAACAGGAGAGAAGAGGGGAAAAAGAAAGAGAAAGTGGGACTAAAAGGAGGAGGGGGAGAGGGGGAGAGGAGGAGAGAAGGGAGGAGGGAGGAAGAGGAAAAATACAAAGGGGTATAGAGAGAAGAAGAGGAGAAAGAAAAGAGGAAGAGAAAGAAGAAGGAGGAAGAGGAGGAGACAAGAAAATCCAGGGCCACATGAGCAGGGAGCCTCCAATATGTGGTCACTTCCCTCCCCTACTTTAGAGGCAGAACATCCAAGGGCACTGGCCTTGCCATTTCACAGCTTAACTTTTGGAAGAGGGCAGAGCAGTGGTTGTAAGGGCACACCAGCTAATCTATGGTAGCGCTTAGGGAAGCTATTCTGCTCCCAGTGCTGAAGGCTTCCATTTGATTCACTGCCTCACTAAATGTTTCCATGTGCCTTGGAGGAAGATGTTATTTTCATCATCAGTAAGGTTAGGTAGACCCCCGAGGGAAGCCCCAGTCAGGAATCAATGCTACGGCTCTAACCCTTACTACTGACCGTTTCTCTCACTTCCTTAGATTTCAGTTTTCTCATCTGCAAAAATGGAGGGGGTTATAGAAAGTCTTTTGAAGAGCTGTTTGGTGAATTTGACGGGAAAATTCAGGTATAGCTCCTGAAATACTATCCGTCGATCCACACTCCTTCACAAGGGTCAGGCAGGCAAATCAAGGATGGAGGTCACAAGCACGGTGCACTCGGAATTTTTTCCTGGAAGAGAATGGAGAGCTTGATGAATTGCAAACGTGGGAGAGGCTCCAGCCGCAGCTGCATTCTACAAAGATCAGATTAGTGCAGTCCTAGTAGAGACGGTCCTACGGAGGTCAAAGAATTCTGACATTTCTTTGATGTCTGGACGCAATGGAAACATTTTGTACTTGTGAACTGTATAGAGTGAAACAACTGCAACTCAAGTATCTAATTAAAACATCTGCTCTAGAACCCGGTGCAATGGGCAGCTGACAGCCAGGGGTGGAGTCCTTCCATGTTTCCTGTGCGCTAACCTGCTACGACTTCCTAACAATCAGAAAGCCGGGCACACTCATCTTTAAGTGATGAGGTCTCATTTTACTTTTTTTCCCCCTTTGGATCTAACACAACGAGAGAGACTTGCTGAGGATACTAGAGGATGAGAAACCCAAGAAAGTGAGATTGAATGGGAATAACCAATCACAAAGCGGCCAGAGAGAGGCTGAGACTGAGCCAGTGAGAGAGGTAATGGAAAAGAGTAGGCAAATTTGGATGCCACTCTCTCAATACCAAACTACTCCTGAAATAGTGACACCAGTTCACTGATGAGGTCTTCATGCTCACGACCCTTTTAGCTCCCATGGGTTTTCGCCTGGCAATCCTGTTGTGCTGGGCTCTAGCCTCCAACATCCTAAGACAGGACAGACTCCTTACTATAGCAGAGAAACTGTAGAAAATATAATTTAACTCCAAGCTCCAGTCCCTTTAAGTGTCCAACAAAATCCTATGAGTCATGATTCCTCAGGCTGTCTGAGTGTTCAGGTAGCGCTGCTTCAGCCTGTATGACCACCAACCACAGCCAAAACAGGTGGAATGCTCACCAAGCCTTGGTCTTCTGTCACCTCTTTCCATAGTTCTTCTACTTGTCCCTGACCGCCTTGGGCTTTTCCTGGCCAATACCTCAAGGAACCATGGAAAGGAACCAGGTGAGAAAAAAATCAGCAAAAACACAAATAAAAAATTAAACCAGTTACCCTCTGGCTTTTGGGGGCACAGGATAGCGTAAGCAGGGCTAGGCTTCCAGGACACAGTGGACCAGTGCATTGTTGGAGATATAGGCATATTGGGTTTTCCACACAGGAGTTTCCCTAATTGCCCTGACGTGGGCAACTATGGTGATGACCCAGAGGAAGAGGGTGAGCATTGGCCACCAGTGGGTTAACAAGGTTTATGAGGAAGATAAGGCAGGATCCTGGAAGGACCAAACAATATACCAGCATTCTCTATGTGAACCCCAACTACAAAATGATTTTCATTGCTACTTTTCAAAACTGTAATTTTGCTACTGTCAGGAATTGTGATAAACAATTTGATCTCCCAAAGGAGTCGCGAACCACAGGTTGAAAAACACTTCTCTAAAGTTAGGGCTAGACACCCAATCCCTTTTGGGCCCAGGACCTGCCTGGTGTCACCAACAACTCAGAGTTGACCATAGTTCACAGCACTACATATGCTGGCATTGACCCCTGAGCACGGATGAGCACAAGCTGCTGTGCACACACTCACTGTGGGAAGTGGTCTAGGTGGGTGGCACAGACACGACACAGACACTGTTGGGAAGTCACCGGCTCAAAAGGGAGGAAAAGCTTCCTGGGCTGTGCTTGCAGCTGCCCCTAGTGATAGAAGCAGCTGAGCAGCTACCTGGACTAAGCAAGCCAGTGAGGACTGGTCCTCTGGGTGGAGGGGAAGCTGAAGCCTGGAGCCAGCTAGGCCTCGGTATAGTCCACAAGAGGGCAGTGGTACTCCATGGGGAATGTGGGCCCCAGGAGCCAGGAAGCTGCTGGAAGTAAAACCCACACTCAGAACTGCCTCCCAGGCTTTTCAGGGGCCTCTGGTTTCTAGGCCTTTCCCTTCCCAAGGCTATCTCAACTTTGTCCTTCTGCTGCCCATTCAGTTCTCCCCAGGCCCCTGAAATAAGGAGGCCCCTCTCCCGGGCGCCAGTGACTGGTGCAACAAATATTTACTGAGTGTTTAATATGTGACAGCCCCTGTTGTTACCAACAGACATAGAGCAGGGACCAACGTCAGTAAGAACCCCTGCACTTGTTGAACAAGCATTTTGCATGAGGAACACATATAGGAAGTCACCAAAACAGGGAGTGTGTTTGAAAGTGACCAGTTCTTTGGCAAACAGTAAAGCATGAAAGAGGCAGGCAGCAGGGACTGCATTGTGCTTCCACTGATTTATCCATCCATCCACCATCCACCCATCATCCACCCATCATCCATCCATCCATCATCCATCCAGTCACCCATCCACCCATAATCCATCCATCATCCATCCATCCATCCATCATCCATCCACCTATCCATCCATCTATCTACCTGTGCTGGCTAGTTTTATGTCCACTTGACACAAACTAGAGTCATCTGAAAGGAGGGAACCTTATTTGAGAAAATTCTTTCATAATATTCAGCTGTATGGCATTTTCTTAATTAATGAGTTAATGGGGAGGGTCCAGCACATTGTGGGTTGTGTCATCTCTGGATGGTGGTCCTGAGGTGTATAAGAAAGCAGGCGAAGCAAGCCACACTGAACAAGCTAGTAAACAGTGCCCCTCTATGGCCACTGCATCAGCTTCTGCCCCCTGGTTCCTGACCAGTTTGAGTTCCTGTCCCGACTTCCTTCTTTGACAAGCAGTGATATAGACGTGTAGACTAAAGAAATCCTTTCCCTTTCCTCCCAACTTGCTTTTTGGTCATGGTGTTTCAGCACAGGAATAGCAACCCTAACTAAGACACCATCCATTCAATCATCATCCATCCATCTGTTCATCTGTCTGCCTGTGCATCCAAACATCATCCACCCACGTGCCAACTCAGTTGTTCATTTACCCACCCACTCGGTAATCCAACTATCCATTGACCTACCCATCCACTTGTCTGTCCATCTAATCATCCACCCTTCCACACATCCATCTACCCACTTGTCCATGCAGCCTTCTACCTACTATTCCACCCATCAATCCATTCATTCACTTATCCATCCTTTCAAAGACACTACTACCCAAGTTTCTTACCTTTTTTCATTAGCTTTCTCAAGAGAGGGTGAGTGGAGGAAGGTAGATAGTAAATACACAGATGCACAAGCTGTGTTCAGCTATGCCAAGGGCTACAAACGTGATTAACCAGGCTGAGGTCATCATGAGTGGATGTCTACCCTAGTAGGGAGGTCAGTAACTAAGTCTCTGAGGAGGTTAAGTGCTCCAATAAGACTTCCAGAAAGGAAAAAGTTATCTATGCAGAGATGCAGTTGAGCAGAGGAAATAGTGAACAGTTGTAATGGCCCTGATGGGAACCGGTGAGCATTTTCCAGAGTCAGCAGTCAGCAACGCTGCTGTTCAGAGTTCAAGGGGAGAGAGAGAGGAACAAGTTGGAGAGGTCAGTGGTGCCCCTGATGAGATGGGTCCATGAGGTGCTAGCCCAGTCCTACTTGCTCTTCTTCTATAGCTTCTCCTGTCCCCAGCCCCAGTTCTCGGTGTCTATTGCTCCCTCATTTATTCTGTTTTCTTTCCTTCTCAACTTGGGACAGATTCCCTCTTCTGCTTCCTCTTCTGCCCATTTCCACCTGCACTGCTTCCTCTTCTATCTGTTACCTGTTTAGATTTTTCTCAGGCATTTCTGCCCCTAGAACCAGCAGTTCCTCCACTCTCTGCCAAGTGACCATCAAAGCCGCCATTTGGGATGCCATCAGGACTTTTCCCTGTTGACACACCATTACTGAGGGAATCCTGGTTAGTTTTTTTTCCTCCGCTAATATGCTTAAATTCAGCGAGTCACCAAGTCTGATCTGAAGTCTCGACACAATCAGAAGTACTCCCCCGCCCCACAAGCACATTTCCTCATCATGGTGCAGCAGGGATTCAGGACTCTCACCGCCGCAGCCTGGGGTTCGAGTCCCGGTCAGGGAACCATCTACTAGATGGTTGGATTAGTCCTTTGCCCCTATACCAGGTCAGAAGACCGATTTGTATGTCAGGACCGCTATGGACCTCCACTAGAGTTTCCTCTGGCTTTGCCCTGCCCAGGCATAGTTCACCATCTTTTGGTTCCTCGGCGGACTGGAGAGGCCTCAAGAGTCCTGTATTATTATTTGTTGTCACTACCTCTTTGACTTGCCCTCCAATGTAGCTCTCTTTGCCCACCAAGTCTCTTCTTTTCATTTCCACCTCTTTGCTTGCCATGTATTGGGCAGTGTCTGTAAGCATTTCGAAGGATCAGATGGGATGGACAGGGATGGATTCTGGCACTCTGGAGTCATAGAACACTGAGTGTTACAGCTCGGATGGAAAGGTATTTGGGCAATCAGGAGCCAAGGACTACCACAGGTCACAGTAAGCATAGCAGCTTACAGCCCTGCTTCAGGGAAAGGCTTCCTCAGTTCTGATCTGGAGGGAGAGGGTTTCCCCCAGCGCCCCAGAGCAGAGGGTAACAATTTCGCTTACCCAGGGGAAGGTTTCCCTGGGCAAAAAAGTGTTACAGCCCTGCTCCCCTCTGCTCTGGGTCATCTCTGCTCCGGTGAAAAAAGGTCTTTACCCAAACCTCATTTAACAGATTTATTGGGAGGGAAGAATCCAGGAGAGTGGCTGCCCCACAGCCACAAGCCGAACAAACACTAGGGGGCGAAGTTTTCCAGGGAGGTTTCCAGGGTGGGGATTGGTCAGATTTCAATCCCCAAGTTTAGGATGGATAGATCTCCTGCACAGGGTTAGGGTCAGATTTGGCTCTGGTTTCAGGGACAGAGTGTGTTTCTTTCTCTGGTCCTTTTTAGACGTTTGGCTCTAATTTTAGGGCCAGGGTGCATTTCTTTCACTGACTCTGATTCCAGGGACAAAGTGTGTTTCTTTGACACTAGTTCCAGGGTCAGGGTGCATTTCATTGGTTCTGGTTGCAGGGCCAAAGTGTGTTTCTCTGGCTCTACTCAGGGTGTGTTTCTTTGTCTGGTCCCTTTTCCCTACACTGTCTGTCACAGGTGGAGGTAGGACCTGTCTTGAGATCAGAAAGCCCTGTTCTTGTCACTTTTTTAATCTCTGGGGCTCTGAACAAACTAACTTTTCTGAGGCTCAGTTTCCCCAGGAATTAAAAAGGCTTGCAGTGTGCATCTATAGAGGTTACCATATTTTAAGGCCTCCTGAAGCTATACCTATCTGATGGTACTGAGCTCAAACATTTCACCTTGAAGTCATCAGTGAGACTTCCAGAAAGACATGAACCCAGGTTTGTGGCTATAATTATTTCATATTTCATCAGGGCTCCATCGTGCTTATATACAATCCCTGTCATACACACACTCAAATTAAGATTATTGAGCTAGCCATCATATGATGTGTGCTTTTTCCAGGGAAGACATGGACAAAATTCTCCTCAGTCCAGATAGAGTACCAACAACACCAAAGCAACAATTGCATGTGTAGCTTAGTCAGCAGTTAGTTTATTGGAGTTACTTAGAGGAATATGGGTGACTTGTACTCATAGGAGCATGGATGTCTCAAAGGCAACTTTGGGGTCAGAACATCTCCTCTCCCAAACATATATTTTGCTTATATAATCTTTAGAGGGGCCTTGTGGGTTTTGAAACCTTCTGAACCTTCCTGAGACTTGTGCAGTTTGTTTACTTCCTGAGTCTTGTAAGTTTCATTTACTTACTGAGTCATAAGGAGCCACTTTTCTCCCTCAGGGAAAGAATTTGCAATGCTGGGGCAAACCCCCACACAACACATGGCCATCCTTCTTATAGCCTAGGAACATCTGGAATAAGGCACCTTTAATGTCCAACCCTGAGTCTTCTACCCTGTCCAGCGCAGTGAAGTAGGTAGCCAATTACATTTGGAGCTGCCTTGAGATGTGTTTACATTCTGCTTCTGCCACTTGTTACCAGTCACAACTTGTCCAGATCACAT